CCGTTATCACGACCCACCAAATCTCAGTTCCTTTCTCTTGGTTTAATAGAAATTCGTAAGGTCTTCTACTGCAAGATAGCTCTATGCAAAATTGCTCATTTCACGGTCCAAAAATCTGGTTCATTCGTGCAAATTCGTACTTCCAAAAGAAAGCGCATCACCTCATCAACGCCAAGGCACTAAACCTGCTTCCTGGTAAAGCCTCAGTCACTTTCGCTGTCAATATTATATCACTGTGATATAGGAAGCGGAGCTTAACGATTCTTTTCTACATGAGCTTACAAAATGTACAACGTGAATAATTTTAGCGGATATTACTAAAAATACTCAGGAAATTTAACCGAGATTTCTACTGGAAGTGGGGTTACAGTGTCAACAGAGGGGAACAGAATAAAGTGATACAGCTTTTCTTTTAAATCGCTTACGTAGAAATATAATAATATGAATGGTCTAGAAATGATAACAACCGAAAGAAGCCTTTTAGCCTTTACGTACCTTTGCTGACGACATTTTTTGTGATCTTCTTTGATCAGCTGGTTTATTCGAAGTGTATCCAATATTACGATTAAGTCTCGCTAAAAGTGCATCTGTAGTCTGACTATTGATTTGCAGGTACGAAGGACGTAAATTGCGCGACCTTTCGCTACGCATCCTATTGTCAGGACAATAGTTCTGTCCTCATGGCTGCCGGGAATATTCTGGGCCTTGCTCCCTTAGTTCGTAGTGCTTCGTAACTTGAATGAAGCCACGTTGTTTCGAATGCATACATAGAATGAACAGCGTATTTCATTCAAGATGCTTAGCCGCCTAGAGCTTTTATAACTACTTGCACGACTAAGCTAATAAACAAAATGTTTTTCGCCAGAAATTCACCGGATCATATAATTTTGCCCTTATCTAAGTTCCTATAGCTTAAAACCTTCGGTTAACAAACGACAATTCATGATATTACACCTGCTACCTGAAGCAATATTAAGGTTGGAAGCCATGATTAGGTTAGTGTGAATCACAAGCTCTTTTTAATACCTTACCTAAGCTCGACATAACGAAGCTCGTTCTCTCATGAAGATTTTCAGGCCAGAACTTCATAGAGGGTATAGCGTATCATTTATGATCAACTGAAGGAATCGTACACCTTTTAAAACAGTTTTGGTGAGACGTCGACATATTGAACCTTATCATACTGGCTGATCCGAAGCATAAAACACTGGACAATATATCCGTTAATGAAATGCGATGTTTACCAAGTACGACTTACTAACGAACTCGAAAACTGGCTCGCTTCCCCAAAATCGGAATCTCTGACTCCGTTCAATTACAACCATTGTTCGAAAAGCACAAAGCTACTCCAGAACAGCAGGAAGTTTGCCCAACTCATCGTGGTCATTTTTGCTCAGCTGGGGAGTCGACGCGTTCGACTGATCGACGTTTTGCTTCTCAATAATCACACAACTTCCACTCCTGAGGCATGGTTACACTCCAGCTGCATAGCCCATCTACCAGTGCAATGTCACAGAGAAATCCTAATATTGACAACGCACTAAAAAACAATGGCCTTAAAACTGTAAATACATAATCAAAAAATACTGCCATAAGTGTTCCTGCGGCTTCATAATAGCACACTTGCTGACCTGTACTGCTGCTATCGCAGTGCGGTTCAATGATTTTCTAAAAGTACGAGCTGCTTGAGCTTGAAACCTATAGCTCAAAAATTCCGAGTGTTTTTATCACTAATTTGACGTAGACCGTAGCTAAATTCCTGCCCTAGACCGTAATTTCTATACTAATAAAGCGTAAAAAGACATTAGCAATTAAGCGTGTAGTGATTGTCGCGTATGAGTTAATTAAAGTATACCTAACACGGTATTAACGATCAATCATTGTAGTAGCGAGTAAGGTGTTTGTTCCAGTGATAGACAGTGATGTGGACCGAACGAAGAGAATCACCGATTTTCGTTAGAAATCTTAGAAATAATGATAGTGCAAAAACGCAGGAACCATCGTACGATTGTGTTTAGCTACGCTTCCCGGCGTGCTCCCCACGTGAATGGCCATTTTCTATTCATTACCATTAAAATCGTCTCGAGACTAGAAGCTATGGCTATTGAACGGGGTAATATGTATCGGAAAGGAGTGGCTCGCGAACGGCCTATAACGGGAATCAAAGATAGCTTTGAGTGAGAAAATTAAAAGGCGCGTTGATTTACGACCTGTTCTATCCTTCTTTCCGCCGCTCAGTCCTAACTCTTTGTCTTACATGAAATAGAAGTAAAGATACTGCTAAGCAATCTACGATAAAATCGGGAATTACCAATACTATTAGATTTTCTAAATATAATAGACAAAAGGCCACATACGTGAATTTACTATAGACATCCTGCAGAGCTAGAGAATAGCATCCGTCGTTGGCAAGTAACTTGTCACGAGTCACGTGACCAAAGATCGCGCGACAAACTGAGATCCACATTTTACTGCAGCCTATTGCAGTAATTGATTTAGTCCTATGGGCTGTGCTTCGTTGGAGTAACCGCGCAGTAGGCTTACTACCAGCGCAAACAGTAATACCCTGGTAACTATGAACATTTTTGAAGCACCGAAAATTGGTTAGAGAAGTCACAAATCCCACATAAGGGTCGCGACTGCAGGAGCTCATCATACACAATCCAAATGCAAAGACAACTTAGACAATTTTTAGTTGCTCTGGAAAGCCAGCCGAACGAAGAAGAGAGCTCTACGTTAAAGTAATTAAATGCACCTGCACACGCTTGCCGTGGAGTTTGGTTGGGCAGTGTGGGCTCCAAATCGTACTGGATTAGCAATTGGGTCTATGGCCTATTTAGGCCCGACTAACCCATTAAAAAAGATGGGAGAACTATTCTCAGAAGCACAAGGGTAATACGACGTGTGAAATTAATTTTCTTGCACTAAATAATAGGCAATGTGTTCTTCAAATTGTTTTTGGAAAATAATCCACACTCGGGAGGAAGAAGCAAATGAAATATCACAGGCTGTGACGTAACAGTAACAAGAAAATGTAATGTTATTTATCTGCAAAGAAAAACAAGGTCTCTGCCTTGAAATTGAAAAGATGGCCGTGCGAGATTGACGGTTCGAAACGCCTTATTGTAATGCGTCCATTCAACAGCAAACCCAGCCAGCTCAATCGAGCTCTAAAAACCAAACACTTCAGCAACCAGGTTAGGTTCAAAAAAATAATCGCAACCTTCTGAGACCAGCGTTAAAGAGCCGTCGATGGGAAAAACCGCAGCAAATCGAATCGCTGGACTGCGGTCAACAGATCCTATTTTCCAACGATCAAAGACTTTGTCAAGCAGATTCTGGCAGTAGCAAGCGACACCTTGAATTACTGCAGCTGCTCGTGAGTACCGTAACAAACTTTGTAGCAAAGCCTGGCGTTTAGGAGACAGAATTACTTAGTGGAATTATCATGAGGCTGCAACTCTTGCGCTTCTTTTCCCAGCAGCTGCAGGCAGTACAGACAGCCCCGTGCTAGTTAGCGTCTTTAACTTTTCTCATTCCCACTTTGCACTACGGCTCTTCAAGACACGCTTGCGACTATGCTGAATAGTCAGCCCCACCTCGACATGTTTATTCTTAGGACATACATGACCTTTGGCTTTCAATATTTACGATGAACGTAATCATCGATAGGGTAAAGTTTTAAGGTGAAAATCCTTTACCGTCAGAAAACTTATGCATTGGCATTTACCTAGTAATGGCGATAAACTCCGTCGCAGTGTTCAGATGTAAACAAGCTTTTGGAATCCCTGTATTTAACGTGTTAATCCCGAACCTTATACGCAGCATCCGGTTGAAATCCACCAGTCTAAAATACAGCTCCTCTTTTCTCCCTCAGGCGCACATGCCGTGGTCCATCTATACTTGCAGCCATGCCAGGACGACCCAGGTGGTCTTCAGGCTTATGGCCGAAATGCGGATCGGGCTCTACCATCCAGTCTTCATTTTTAAGAAATCTACCGAAGGACGTATGCATCACAAAAGTAACAATGCTCTAAGCTAAACTAATCGCCGATACAGAGCGTCAACCATAGAAGTGGCTAACGCATCACGAACTCGGCGGCTTCTCCAAGGAGCTTTTTGGCCCTCATAATTTGTTTGCATCAGAGAATAAGATACCACCCCCGGGTGCCAACGTGAGAAAAGGGGAGTTCTATACAATGCGATAGCCTTAAACATGACTTCACATAGCGGATATTAATAATCCAGTGTCTTGGAAGGCTATGCAACAAAGAAGCCGCCAGTCTAGATAAGGTCTGAAACGAGAATCTCAAGTGCGTCGTCGTGCTGGACAGCAGTACATAGTAAATGTTCATATCCTGGTGTATTTCGAGCCCAATAAAGAGATACAATTCTGCTAGTAAACAGTAAACAAAAGGACGAGCCAACCGCATCGTCATAACGGCGACGAGCAATGAAGAACAGCGTTTGTTAAAAGCTGCTTCTCGGTTTGTGGACTCAAGTATACTCGATTTAAATGCAGACACATGAGTTCTAAAGAGGATGTTCTACTAAAACAGCACCCAGGATCCTGATGGCCGAAGTCAAAAGGCCACTGGCCATGCCGTGCGATGAGCGGCAGATGAGAGCAGTGATCACTGACACACTTATAAGATCACCTCTTATCTGTGTAAATGGGTTTTCGTACCTGGAGCTGCTCTTCTCCGGGAACGGCAGAAGTCTTACATCACCAAAAGATGCAAGAAAGCACAGTTCACACAGATTAATATCCAAAGATTTTATAACACCCGCTTGAAATTTAAATTGGCAATTGAAAATAGTTTTTTTTTTTTTTTTTTTTTATAGGGAGAGTAATATTTGCATTTGACGATCCTAGTCTGTATAGTATGTAGAACACTCTGGGGCACCTGGGATCAGGTTTGATGATACAGTCTTCTAAGAATATTTTGAGAAACCCCCTATTAGCGAATTGAAGTGGCTATAAATTAGTACATAAAAGTAAATTTGTTACTTGACCGTTTATTTGTTCTTTAACAACAAGAGCTTCAGCTTGAACTATGCTTAGCAAAGCACACAGAGTGTAGCGTATGTGTAACTTAATGGACTGATCTTATAAGCAGCATAATAACTGTAATAATATTTATTATTATTAGAAATATTAACGACATGTGTAAGTGCAGATCGATTTCTAATCTCTTTTATAACGTTAGCGTACTGATTTAATTCTACTGATCGGCCTTGCTGACAGGAGTAACATCAGTACATCCACTCTATCCGTTAATCGTATCATTCTCGCCGAGAGGTATACGACCGATAAGCTGCACTTTATGAAACAGTTACCCCCATTTCCTTCAGGCAGTAGAAGGTATGGTTATCGACTATAATAGCGTCATCGGGATGGAATTCGTTCATGAGTTGTCTCCACAGCGACTCACCTACACAACAAAGCAGAACATCAGGCAAGACTTTTGAAAACGGTACCTTGTTATTTAAGATTCGTCATGGTTTTCTTTAGACCTGACCTGAGAGAATTTTTATAAATCTATCTAGAATACTGCTAAAGCTGGGTGTCTGTCTGTCCAACCCAAATTCTTCTTATGGTATGGTTTTGCCTGAGCTATAAGTTTCAAAGCGGGGTGGGCGTAAGATGGAGCCAATTAAATGATGCTACCTTTTTCGGAACGGATTTTTTCTTTTCCCATAGATTGTGAGGTTAATTTGGGAAATTTTTTTATTTTTGGGCAATTTGCTACCGATGATTTGAACGGATGAGAGTTCTTGAAAAGAGTGTATCCAAAAACTTCGTTTTTTGAACCTTCACAAAGCGAGCGTAATATTGTATTGAAAAATCCATCATAATGTTCATTAAAAAATAGTCTATGTCTAGCGATAGATGGGTAATCGATTGACGAAATTCCTGACAATTGATGAAATAGTGTTTTTCTAGTTTCTAATGTACGCTTAGAAAAGTTTGGGATCTGACGCAGGCTGGTGCAACATAAACGACATCGGATTGTAGTTTTGGACGTGAAGTGTTTAGGTTCGTATTGGCTCAAGCTTTGAATTCGAACACCGCTCCGTCGACCTGATCATTCAAATATAGATATTTGCCAACAGAATTACGTATTTCGCTGGTCAGATCATTGAAAAGAATTCTGCCAAAAATTCTGTTACTAAAGCGTGAGCAGAGAAACGTATCGCCCTTTATAAATACTATAAACATTGCAAATAATGTTTGATCTTTAACTGGCCATTAGACAGACACGACAGTTACGCTTTATTCTTACGCTGTGACTCATTAAATGTTTTCCGGTTGTCATACCAGCATTGTTGTTCAGGCGGCAAATTTCGAATATGATGTCGACGGCGGACATCCCGGGAATGAAACTTGTCCTAGCCGCAAAGACGTCCTGTGCCTAAACTCAAAAACATCCATTAAAAACATCTACACAGTTATAGAAACATCCACTTTCTACCTCGTATATAATTTCTTACTTACTAGTATAGTAATTTCCTTATTTAAATATAAGGCTTTCGAAACACTAGTACGTGTTCCCCGATGACACATCATAAAACACTGTTGCAGCCACCCACCAAGGGCTTGTCAATAGATCCACTATGGTCGACGCTATTTTTATGGTGTGTATATATGGCAGATTCGCACGACGACCTTGACCTGAAGCCTGCCAATCGTGGGTTCGTTTTAATAATTGCGATATCCCCTAGCGGACGCTGCGCGTTATGTCCTTCGTGCAGCGCTAGCATCCAGCATCACTTCTTTGCTGGCTAAATTTCTGAAAGTGGGTGTCACGTTCTTCGGGGGTATAGCCTCGGATCACTCTAGACTACCTCGACATACTTAAGAATTGCACTGACCACTGTAATCAAGTTTCTAATAGTTTCCAATTTCGCGCCTTATCGGACATCAGTTATAAACATCCCCAGTTTGCCCAGAGTGCTCGTTTAGCACAAACTGTTCAAAAAATCGTTTGATTATTGCGGGAAGGCGTTCCCGCACCTCTCCGGAAGCTTCCCACCTCTGCCCCGCACAAACCTTAATATCGAATCGAATGCGAGCCAATCCGTGCGAATATCAACGCCTCACAACCCCATACAAACCACTAACGTTCTTTGCAATCCAGCGTTTGGGCTTTCTTTTACCGAGCACCGCCGTGGGACGGGCCCCCCTGTCGAGCCATTCAATCTATTCTTTTGTGACTTCGTCCATCCCACCTTTATTATAAAAGTGAAAAGCACTGGCTGAGCTTCGCCGTTTGCTCGCAGAAATGAGCGCATCATAGATACTTACGTTGATTTTATATAGCCGTAGACGTGTATTTTACGGATGTTTTTACGGATTTATCTCAATAGATATACATATAGATATAGGACGGGACGTTTAAGCAGGATTCTGACAAGTTATTCCTAAGACAGTATCTAGACAAAAACAAATATTTCAGCGAACCTTTTCGCATCCGCTAGAAGTGCTATTAATGACGGTGTGTTCTATCCGTTACATATATACAAAGAGTGCTCAGTCTGCATCTACCGGACATGTATTCATCTGTTTTTCATGGAACTAGAGCAAACCAGTTATTTCTAGCATAATTACTTAATCATCAAGAAAAACAATGCGTTATTTTTTGCAGTTTTGGACGAAGATTAGATATTACCCAATCTTTTCGCGCTGAATAAACTAGTAGCAAAATTGAAAACATCATGTTTTGTCAAAAAAAGTGACGGTTTGTACTATTGTTGGTTTTCATGCAACTTCTGCAACAGAAATCCGAGGAATATTCCTATGAGGAAAACCAAAAGATCCAAAAAAAAGTTCTCATCCAAAAAGCTCGACAGCGCATTAAAATGACTTTAAAGGCCATTTTCGGTACACCTTGATTCCTCATATATAATGAATACTCGTTTTTGAACAGAATGTCAGTCGCCAATTGGATGGCTCAGAAAAATTTCACACTTTTTCCGTCCTCTCGGACCTTTCAGACCTACTGGTCGTTTTGTGCCTTTCCAATTTTTGTTGACCTGCTGTCCGGCCGACATTCAATTTCCGCTGAAATGCTTCGTATGCAGCATGTTTCAACGACACTTTAATAAGCATACGCTAATCAATATCACTTGCTAAAAATTATATTTTTAAAATGGCTAGTCAACGATTCAGGTCTCACATTGAAGCTGTCCTGGCTGTAGTTAGTAGTTATGTTGAATTAAGAGTATTGAAAGGAATGACATTTCTACCACATGTAAAAAATTAGTTGAAATACCTGTTTTTGCTTAGACAGCAATCACTTATTGAAGATACTCCAGATTTTGAAGTACATATATACACGAAGCATCATTATTGTCAAACTGCATAGTAAGCGATGTGGTAGGATGCTCAATAAAGCTGATCCTCGCAAAGTACAGAATCAATTACAAATTTAAAATAGTGCATAAACTTATAATCTTGCGCTACAACACAGATTAGAGATTATCATTTTGGGTGTGATTTCATGATGACCCATTTTGTACATGTCCGATTATTATAAGTCAAAACTGAAAAAGAGACCCACAAGAATAGATTAATGAGGAACGGTCGTATATTGTGAATTACGTGTGACACAGGTATTTACAACAATCATCTGCTCAATGGAACCAAGAGACCTTTAAACGGATCCTGCCACTTTCGCTTACTACGATGGCTCAGTTCTCCGTCAATTTACTGTACTTCGACTATTTGTTTGCAATGATTTTCATTCGCTTACAGAATTATGGAACTACTTGGAAAAATCTTGGCGTCCAATGTCTCATGTTAGGTATATAACATGGCACTGAACTGACTGAAAATACAACTTATTTAAGAGGTATGACGACTGTAAATAACAAAGCTACATTTCGGGTGGATAATCCAGAGGTCTAGGGCTTTCATATGATTTTCATACGATAATTACGAACTTTGAAGGAAACCTAATAGCGGATGTCCCAATAATGGACAGCATTTGGCAAATCTCTAACAGTAGCTGACTCTCATGCGACCCATTTATCTGAAACATCTTTCCTGTCCATTCTTTAGGTTGAGTACCTCCATTTTGACTATCTAGTTGAAAATTATTAATAGATTGGATTTTTATGCTCATGTCGTACTGTGTCGTAGACTCTACTATGCGATTAACTGCTTCTAGCATACTGCATTGCTTACGTGTATGAAGCGTGATTCAAGGTTTGCATAAGCTGTTACAGAGCATATATCCACATTGTGCGTGAACCTCTGAAATACATACGATGGTGTGCTTGCCCAATGAGGATATTCAAAACATTCGTATTTGGATTGGGCCTAATGAAGCTGTCTTCACCATGGACTTCTTTGGTTAACCATATGCAAATGAAGGTTCGTTCAATGCCCAAAGTAGTAGTGATTTCGAGAGGAGTGAGGGCCATGAGATAAAATGAGACAAAAAAAAAAACTCAGACTGAATTCGGGACTTAATAAAGACAGATTTCTATCTAAAGAGACCTGTAGTAAAGGAAGTAGACCATGACGCTCACGGTAGAGAAGGAAAGGCTTCTTGAAGCTAGCCTCTCCGGAATAACAAACGAAAGACGCTTTTTAGAAGAAGTTTAGGTTCGCAAAAGGGACAAGGGGATAATCTTTCCCCCTTAGGAAACGATACGTCTCGGAACTCGACCAAAATAAGCCCGGCTTAGTGACCCAGGAGCATGAGCTATTTTCTTTCCAAGTACTTATAATTTAAGTTTACTTTTTTTACTTTATAATTTAAAATAATTGAGAAGCCGGACTGTTGGAGCAATGTATAAGAAAATAAGTGCTGGTGAGTAGTGATCTCGGCGGAATAAAATCCGCCCGTCAGGGCCGTCAATCATCGACACAGGGTAGATGGACATTGCTCAGCTGAGCCCGATCACGTGTAGGCAGCATTATTCAAACCGTCTCGAAAAATGCCATAAAATTGTTAAAATACATAAATTATCGCAAAGGGAAGGGTGAGGCCTTTGAGCCAATCAAGGCCTTGTTTTCGCTCATCCTCATGTTAAATTCCTCGGACACAGTTTACAGGCAAACTGAGCGTCGACAGTGGCAAGTCGATCACTTACTCGTTGAGGATTTTTGGGATTGCTGCAATCAATCAAAGATACGAGCTTGTCGGGCGATAATGCTGAAAGAGAATGAACGCTTAGTTAAATTAGCTACTTCATACATCGAAATGTCGAATGGCACAATTGTCTGCCATAATAAGATGCAGATTCAGCGGAAAATGAACGTAATGATTGCTCGTTATGAGCTGTATTTAGTAGCTTTCCCGTATATTGCCACCAAAGTCCCATTTTATTTGCGCATAACACGAGAGAAATACACCAATTCAAATATCACAAAGATCATATCAGGTCTGTATAATTGCAGAAAATAGTTTTTTCTTTTTTTTACAACATCAATTACATACATTTCAAAATTGTTATTCGTCGCATTAAAACGATATATATATATATATTTTAAATTAAATTCCCTAGAGATTTATTTACCTTAATTTTTGATGGAAGACAAGAAAATATTCTAGCATACAAACGTTTTTAAAGACAATGAGAGTGGTTCATAAAGAACGAAGGGCCCCCGAACTTTTTATTTCTTACAAATTAAAATCGGTGGGATTGGAAAACGGAGCTTATGTTTCTTATCTTGTACTTATTATTTGAAGACGTGACGCACGTCCACAACACTTCGTTTCGATCATCACATCTATTATTTAGCCAAATCATGCCCTGTCCTTTTGGCGTTTTGCTACGAGATACGCATATTCATTTGTTCGAAACCATTGTATTATTTAAACTAGATGAACTTTCTCTCGGGCGTGGGATCTTCGTTCCATGAAATAACTCAATAACCGAAGAATCATAAAAACTACCTTCAAAGTGATTGCGGTTGTTTGGGTGTTACCGAATCGATCTACATCGAGAACATTGTGGTTATTCGGGAAATAAAATGCTCCCACAGTTACTCAGCTGTGTCTGAATTATATCCTTAATTCAAATGCGCTAATCCTATACGCAACGTAATGTCTATGTGCTGTAGCAGCCTCCTCCGTTTACTCAAAAAAGGTACTTTTCAAGTCGATTTCTAAACGTTTCCCCATAAACTGAATCGCTATATTTGTTCGTACCTAAGTAATATCTGATATCATAGCCCAAAATCTAGATATCACTGTTACCTCATTTTTTAACCATAAGTTGAAAATTTCTAGTGATATGCGGTATGGTCGTAAATCTCATTCAAATATGAAGCACTTAGGACTATTTCTATTAACAGCAAACTAGCTAGGAGCTGACCGCATTAGCATATTTTGACTAAAAAAAAAAAAAAAAAACCAGCCTTTGCGAATCGTCATTTTTTACAACGGTCATATACAGGCGGACGTAATAGTCCTTCATAGTGTACGAGCACGTAGAAACCAAGCTAACGTGAGCTCTACAACAGCCACTTGCAAAACACAATAAAATACCAAAGTCAATGAACAGCAATGTAGTGCTTTACAAACGCTCACACGTACCAACACTCATTCCGCAGACACTTACCACAAGGGTTAAAGGAGGCCGACTTTAACCCTGCTAGACAACTGTTCCTCACAGTTAACAATAGAACAAAGGATCTAACGAATATCAGTATAGATAGGCTCGCGATTAAATGTCGAGGCGACATCAGGGTGAATAGCATTATGCTGAATTTGTGTTCCGGACTAATTAGGCAGGCTACTTTCGAAATAATTGTTACCTAATCACGTCAGCTTGTCATAGGTTATAGATTTAATTAGGTAGCTATGATTGTTTGAATAGCTATTAGACGTTTTTTTTTTAGACCTTCTCAAAGCCTAACAAGGATTCTGCTCTGTCCTCCTGTAAATATTTAGCTAATCACCGCATGTCACCTTTAATTAAGCCAGCGTCGACTGGAAGCCCCATGTAGCACTCTACTAGTGCTACACGGGTAGATTGTTCGATTTTCGGAAGCGAGTAATTCAAGTTACGGGAAGTAAGTCGAAGCTACTTAAATAAGCAAGATACTCTTCAATTTAATCGATTTCGTTTTGAAATGTGGTACTTGTTCAGAGATAGGACTTATTGTTTATGTCTTTACTTGTTAGAGGATGCGGTAGGTGAACAAGAACTTGGATTAGTATATGCAACATCAATCCAAGCCAACTATATTCCTTCAAAAAAAAAGACCTAAAACTTGCTTATTCAACCTAACTGTTAATTTAAAAAAAAAGTATATACATTTTCTATCGCTTGAGATTTTCTTTTTCACTCCTCTTCCCATCTGATTATTTATACATTGAAATGTATTTACTACAAAATGTGTGCAATTGATACGGATTGTTGTCTGCACCCTTAAGCATAACAATAATAACGATTTAATAGAACATCGTACGATATAATGATATCGAACGAAATTTAAGAAAAACGTTTGAACTATTTAAGAAATAACGGTTTTTCCGAATAAGAAAAAAATAAAAGGTTTCGAAATAATCGATACTTTCGAAATGATCAAATTCCGCAAGTGCATAGATCCTGAATTTGTCGCACAACCTTATCGCGGTATGACTACTTTCAAAAGGAAATAATGCTGATAAAAGAAAATTCAAATTTATTATGAATCTAATATATATTATCAATAAATTCCACAAGCTGTCGAATACAGTTTCAGCGAAAGTCGTGAAAATAGTTGTTATTGTTTAAAGTACAAGCTTAAACGTCAATAGAGAAGCAAATCATTTTCTTTTTTTTTTTTCGTTTCAATTTTACAATTTAATACAATACAAAATAACAAATTTTAACACAGTCCTAAAATAAGAGTCAAAAAGTATTTGCTTGCAATTTCTATTTCTGACATAAAGCGTACAGGCCATCTTTCCATTGGACTACTCGAGCTTTTCGTCCATATTTGAGAAATTATTTTACATAAAATATACGACCAACCTTACTAAAATTACTCAATAATAATAATGGTACAAATGACTATCGCTTATCCCAATTTTGTTTTGTTTTAGATTTAAAATGTAACTCCCAAATGGATGCTTTTTTTAACCGAGATTTACCCCCGTGTAACAAGCACCTTGGTTTATTCCATCATACACGTAGTATAGTATGTGACTAGAAAGAGGCGGAGCGATGTCCAAAGCCTATTACAAAGCGCATAGTTTCTTAACGAATATAAACAATAGAGGGTGTTGTTGCCTAGAGTAACGCGTCCATCTCCTGTATTTTATATTTTTGGCTTTCTATTGCGACACAGTTCAGGACAAAAACAAAGACCCTAGATTGAAATCAGAACGAAACCAAAACTAAATCATCTATTACTTAGTAAGGATCCAATAACTCTAGAATTTTCAAGTGTAAGCGGCTTCGACATACGCTTATAAGCCTGCGCTTTACCACTGCGTTTATTGCGTGTCTTATTCTCAAAAGTGCTAGTCTTTCGGTTACAGGACTTTATGAAGCTCTCCCAAATTCATTGCATAGGTAGCTATGAATTCTTCTCACAGTTTCGTATCTACCCATAATTTGGTATACTCAGGTGAGATAAAAATACAAGAGAGCCCAATGTCAAAGTTGTTATTATCTATTCCTTGGAAAACGTGACGCTCACGATGAGAAAAGCTAGCCATTGAACGGTGTCATCATTCGTCGTATAGTAATTCTCTGTACGTTATTTTCATATGGTGGGCACAGTATGGCCGAGTTTGATTTAGCAATTGCTCGCTCTTCGAAATAATTATTACTGTTGTTATCACTACCTGTCTATGTGCAGAGCAGCCTGATGGGGCGCATCGATGATAACGTTGGTTTCAATCAGCAGTGAAAGTGTACAGGTACAATCGTTGCTAGTTGCCAATGTTAAGCTCTATCTAGGACTCCAATTTTTGCTCCTACAGCCAACCGGTTATTCCTAATAATCCTTTCATTGCCATTGCACATGCACTGTATCTGAATTCAAATATATATTCAGCTAGTCAAATGGACTGAATTTCAAATTTGCTAGTCTCAGCGAAGGCTGACAATATCAATCTCGGCCTCTGCTTATCTCAAAACTGTAGGAAGATGGCGAGTTCGTTGTGCGAAGATCTTTCAAAAATGTCATAGAAAATTAACTTTCCTTGTAAAAGTTCTTCAAGCTTGCGAACGATCGCAGCGACTTTTAATTATATCCAGGCTCACGGATACTTGTTGATCTCATTATAAATGCTTAATTCCAACTTGCGGTTGAACGGAGAAATAAGCGATTGCATCGACCTCAACAAAAACTTATTGTTGTTGTAGAATTGAGCCGTTACTATAGATGCGAATGTGTAGCATTTCTCTAACACCTACTACGTAGACATGATTATCTTGTTTCGCCTATTCCTAGGTGCTTCCCAAAGCCTATACCAAATTTAACCTCTTGTGAAGCATGAGTTATCGAAAATCCCTTCACTGAAGCACGGGTGACAGTTGACTCACATGGCGTGTTAAGACGAAGCCAAATTGAAAACATTACAGTTTGCTGCTGCTGCTGTCGGTGCAAAGACGTTGGCGAGGATATTGCCTGTAAAGTTTAACGCCAAGTATCCTACGTAGCACCGCTTGGCTGAGTAATCGTACGTTCAGTTGAGGCCTGCATGGTGGACACTTTAGGACACAATTGCGTTTCACAACGCGACAGTGTTATCGAATATTCATCAGTGTCCTATGGGAGGGCTATCCTAGTTGTTCGATGTGTTTTAGCTACTGGATGACGCATACGTGAAAGACGGTAGGGACGCCTGTCACAGGTCGCTAATTCGTGAGACGTCTGGTTCACTCTGATTACTCACCGGAAAGCATTTCGAGTGTAACTCCGTTGACTAAGACTCGATTTTGATTGGCTTCTCATGTCGCGAGTCTTACCCAGCTACCGGGAAAAGGGTTTATCACGAGTAGCTGAGGACTAGATTAAGGAGATACTAAATCAGTTATGCTACCTTAGCATTGAATATAACGATACTGCAACCTGTATACCATAAAATTTTCAACAGTGGTGATTCTCAACAATTTTCAACAAATACTTAAAAAACAACAAATACTATTTGCAGGATTACCGGATTACGGTCAGCTAATCATTTCTCTTTAGCATAGTAATTTCTATTTAGCAAAAATGTCCGAAATTGAAAAGCTTGTGAATTAGATGGTTGGAAACGGCAGGTAGGCCCCTTAATTGTAGTCCTTCGTTCTATGATTCGAGTGCATCACGCGTGAAACGGGTGCGACCTTATTCCAAACTCGAGAAAACCCTATTTGTGGATTGTTTATGATAGTAAAACTATAAACATACATCAAAATAGGGCATCCAGCGTATCAGCAGGCTGGAGATATTAGTGTCATACCTAATATGGAAATCAGTAACGGGCAGTTCTACTACTGATTACAATGTTTGATAGTACTGCAACCTTCTACAAATGAATAAACTATCTTATGACAAAGAATCTTCTAACGATAGCGTAAAAAAGATATAAATGTTAACTTAGGCAGGAGTCGCAACTTTGCACACTTAACCTAGATAAAATATGTTCGCAGCGATCATTGAGCCGAAGATTATTTAACAAGTACTTTTACTAACCCAAAGAGCAACATACACAATAGAATCCTAATATCGATATAATGCTAGACGGACTGAGCGGAGTAGTTATCCTGCCCCATCTAACCCATTACCCTTCTGCATTTATTTTATCTGCCGGTTCTACTATATTTGCCAAGGAACTCAGAAAACTCTAGATTGTTTTTCTCGTGATATCTTGGCTTTTGATAGGTTTCTACAGTATCGGCTCCGCAACTCTGTTTCCGCAGCTCACGTAAATGAGAGAACATACGTAGATTAAGTTCGGCCAACTTTTAATCGACGCTGCCATTGACAAAGTTGGTTAACATACTTATTATATATATGTTTGGCGTATTGATTCCATTCCCGGAACTTTATCAAGGCTTAATGGTATTTATTTACCTTTGTAGTAAGTAGTTATGTAAATCTGCAATCTAATAAACATTTCATGTTCATTCGTACACTTCCTTGAATGTATGTCGTGGGACGTCGTCAGAATTTAGGTTCTCTATTTTCTTTAATAATAAATAGTTGCCTGTGTAATACTAAATAAAGACATGAATCCTTAAATGTCTCGATTCGCATCCTGAGTCCGTTTCTGAGAGACTCCTAAAGCTTAATAATATAATAAATATTTCTACCATTTTTCTGATATTTTCGTATTTTTCTTTGCAAAATAAATTAGGGATTTTTGGCACGAAAAGAAACATTACATGTGTCGGCTGAATTTACTGTTAGCTGACATTAGTAGAAATTTGCTTAAATTATTTAAAACGCATTTGCATCCTACTGTTACGTGGACAAATCCATGTAACCAATAAAGCTTTCGTCGAAAAAAAAAAAATATTGATTTACGAATGTCGGGATTGCATTTTTATTCAGTTTGTTGATATCTATCGACAGGGCGTTGAATGAGCCTCTCTTACTCAAAAAAACAGTGTTGAGTCTTCACTTTAAATAACGCTATCGACCCAAAATACGAGATTTAGATATGCGTCTATATACTGCGTTTTGGGTCAGCCTATTGAGCGGTTTCCGATTAATGCAGGGAAATTTATTACGACGAGTGATTTATATGCAAAAAATTTTCATCCTAATGTTAAGAAAGCTACTAAATTCAGTCTTGTTTATATTTAGCTTTTGCCTTTTTACGCCGAATTTTTGGTAATTTTCTTAGAAATATTTGAGGGTTCATTTTTGAAAGCAAAGTGTTCAAGTAAAATGTTCGTCGTATTAGTATAAAAATCGACATTTATCAGAGATGCGGTCAAAAAAGCGCTAGAGTAGCATATTTACCCCACTGTCACGTGTATGAGATGGACCCCTTAATGGGCTATTCACCATTTTTGCACCGAAGTATCCATTTTAAGTATACAAACGTGTGTTCCGCTTTTACCTCATCAAAATTTGCCGACTGATGTCAAGAACAAACCCCTCGTTAAAAGCGCTATGCTAATTAGTTGCCTAAAAACATTTTTCATAAAAAAAAAATACTCACTTTTTCACAGACACCTATACGAGGATTCTGCAAAAAACACCAAAAAAAAGCCAAAAAAAAACACAGATTTCCTTGAATTTACCTTACGTTTTATGGAATGAAAAACAAAGGAAGAAAGCATTCACGCAATCGGCTCCTTCTTACCCGCCACTCTGTCCCGGATGGTACCCCAAAAAGCAGCCTAACCGGATCAGTTAAAAAGGTCGATTTGGGTCGCACAACAAATAGGTAGAAAATTTTAATAGCTTACTAGATCCGTTACCGGTTCCACATAACACCGGTATCCGTGCGTCCAGAGCAGCGTAAACATACGTTAAAAGCTGTTGCATTGCGCAAATACATTTATGTAAAATGTTCGTTCAACGTTAATGTCAAGGGTTGTAACTGTCCTTATTAGCTTATCACTGTTTATTGAATATTTGGAGTAATACTTTCTTTTGAAAAAAACCGCCACGGGTTTAAATTAGTAGAATTCCTCGTTGAAAATTAAAAAAAATACCTCACAATAATCGTAAATATTATGATTTTAAAGAGCGGCTATCCCTTAGAATTACACTAACTAGTTAGTCTAATTTATAATAAAAAGTTATCCGACGTCAATTGTGAAGTAAGTCTACTGAAGTTACCGAAAACGGCGTGCGTGGCACACTTAATTGAACGCTGATCGAAGCAAAGGTTTTAGAATAGACCATTACTATAACCAAGTGAGATTTACAATACTGTATCGTTATAATAATAATAATGGGTTGTGTTTGGACACTGGTAATAGAAAACGAGATGCACGTTATGATTTCTACTACTACTACTACGACTACTTTTCTCTCAGAATTGTGTTATTACTTTGTGAAGATCAGACTGTAGCTTCACTCGAACAAATCATAAAACATTTAACAGTAATGCACGCGAATCAACAAGCACATGAATAAATCAAAGGCCGGGTAGGTACGTTGTCCTGCAAAGAGGAAATGCTACCAAGTAGTTTTGTGTTTCCCTTTAATAAGCAACCAGCTATTCAATATCGTACAGTTAGGACATATCGATTTACCAGTATATATTTGTCGTAGAGTACGCTCCTGACTTTAGCCATTTTTCCTCAGGTTGTAACGGCCTAACTAGAATTGAACTTGATATACAATACTTACTGCTATAAAATAAACGACACTCAAGCGTTCACTGCAATAGAGTAAGGAAACTAATGAAAGAGGTATACAAAATCACCGCAAATAAAAAGAAATACAATAATCGGTGCTTGTTTCTGCATTTAATCATATTTGTCGCATAAAATATACTACGGTATAAATCGAAATTGGGTGCTTACTAATGACAATTGGCTAGAATTTCCCATTCCCATTATAATAAAACGCAACTGTATATGAAATGGTAGAAACCCAAATAATGTAGTAAATCATCATCACTTACCGAACGTCGTGTGTATTTGCTCTTGCGTAACATATACGTAACGTTTTGACTAACAGTCATATGCGTCCAATGACCACGTTCGTTCCAGGCGTTGTTCCTGCTCTGACGTCAGTCGCACGCGCTCGCGTTATCAGCGGCCTCATACAACATTTCTGAATACCTTACAGTTAAATCATGATCAGTTGACTGCTTGATACGTAAACATGCCAAAATAGCTGCTACTGAATTTATCTAGCTTGCTTATTATCATCATTATGAAGCATAGTTTTGGCTAAGTTGAATGTATCTTGTTTGCTTAATGCGTCTGGAGGTATCGTTACGTCTGTTCCTGACGTAACAAAGTATTACCGATAAAAACGGGACTAAAAGCACCATGTTCCGGGTCCTCTGAGCCACACTCGCGTGAGCGTACGACACAACAAACGTATAAGCACGATGGCTCAAATCAGCAGATCTGGAGAAAAAGATCCTTCCCTATCCTTTCAGGAAACAAGAAAGGTCTCTCTGGGGACTACGTTGACAGCGGTCACCTCGACAGGCCGTCGACAAGGCGGCTGTGACAAACTTCAAGTGGGAGCGACAACGCGGACTTCGAATACCCAACTCGCTAGCGAACAAGTCGTGGCGGCCACAGCAAACGTTCAGGGGACATAGACGTGATACGGTTTGTTGTTATATTCGGCCTGTACCGAGAAGGTAAATAAACCTGGGAGAAAAAGCGAGTGTATTGCGTTGGCTTTGCTGATGCGCGAAGGCAGGCGCAAAAAACTCCTGACTGGCATTGTCGAAGACCCAGGAATAACGAAACGTGGCCAAAAAGGTATTACTGCTGGGAAATTGCAATGACAATATAAGAGCAATGACACGTGAGGCCTAGAAGAATATAGAAAACAAGGGGAAAATAGACGATTTTTCTGTGTGCATATGAAAAATTGTGCAAACTCCTGCTGTTATACACCTGTTTGAAAAATATATGCTAATATTCTAAAAAGGCTTAAAATAGGCTAATTTTTCTTGTAACCTGGTGTTGATCTGGCGCCCCTATCAAAACCTCTAAATCAATTTCCTATAAGAAATAAGAGCTTTGGTGAGTTATTCAATGGCTGGCGCCCTGTTAAAGATAACTGTCTACAACGACATTGAACCTAACCGATGAACGATGTTTCAAATTTACACAAATAGTGTACAGCCTATGTCAGTAGCGCGGGTA